AAAACACTGAGGAAAAACATGCAGAATATACTAGAAGATGGAAAGACCTCCTATGCACTAGGATTAATCTTGTAAAAACGACCACATTGCCAAAAGCAATCTACAAAGTCAATGCAATCCCCATCAAAATTGAAACACAATTATTCATAGAAATTGAAAATCAATAATTTAAGAATGACTGAATGGGCCTGGAGAGATGCTCTTTTTTTTATTGAAAAAAAAAATTTCTGACTCCTCCCAGCCTCCCATTTCCCTCCCCCTCCTCCCGCCCTTCTCCCCCTACCCCCACTCCTCTCCCCGTCCCTCTCCAGTCCGAAGAGCAGTCAGGGTTCCCTGCCCTGTGGAAAGTCCAAGGTCCTTCCCCCTCCATCCAGGTCTAGGAAGGTGAACATCCAAACTGGCTAGCCTCCCACAAAGCCAGAACATTAAGTAGGAACAAAACCCCATGCCATTGTCCTTGGCTTCTCATCAGCCCTCATTGTCCGCCATGTTCAGAGAGTCCGGTTTTATCCCATGCTTTTTCAGTCACAGTCCAGCTGGCCTTGGTGAGCTCCCAATAGATCAGCCCCACTGTCTCAGTGGGTGGGTGCACCTCTGGTGGTCCTGACTTCCATGCTCATGTTCTCCCTCCTTCTGCTCCTCATTGGGACTTTGGGAGCTCAGTCCGGTGCTCCAGTGTTGGTCTCTGTCTCTATCTCCATCCATCGCTAGATGAAGGTTCTATGGTGATATGCAAGATATTCATCAGTATGGCTATAGGATAGGGTCATTTCAGGTTCCCTATCCTCAGCTGCCCCAGAAACTAACTGGGGACATTGCCATGGGCACTTGGGAGCCACTCTAGGTTCAAGTCTCTTACCAACCCTAAGGTGGTTCCCTTAATTAAGTTATGTGATTCCCTCCTCCTCTATCCAACCTTGTTTTATCCCCAATCATCCCGTTTCCCCAAGTTCCCCCCATCCTCCCCTTCTCACTTTTCTCTCCCCTTCTCCCCTTACCCCCATCCCATCCCACCCCCAAGATCCCAATTTTTTGCCCAGCAATCTTGTCTATTTCCCATAGCAAGGATAATAACTACATGTTTTTCTTTGGGTTCACCTTCTTATTTAGCTTTTTTAGGATCACATATTATAGACTCAGTGACCTTTATTTATGGCTAGAAACCCCAATTATGAGTGAGTACATCCCATGATCCTCTTTTTGGGTCTGGGTTACCTCACTCAGGATAGTGTTTTCTATTTCCATCCATGTGCATGCAAAATTCGAGAAGTCATTGTTTTTTATGGCAGAGTAGTACTCTAATGTGTATATATTCCACACTTTCTTCATCCATTCTTCCATTGAAGGACATCTAGGTTGTTTCCAGGTTCTGGCTATTACAAATAATGCTGCTATGAAAATAGTTGAACAAATGCCCTTGTCATATGAATGGGCATCTCTTGGGTATATTCCCAAGAGTGGTATTGCTGGGTCCAGGGGTAGGTTGATCCCAAATTTCCTGAGAAACCGCCACACTGATTTCCAAAGTGGTTGCACAAGTTTGCATTCCCACCAGCAATGGATAAGGGTACCCCTTTCTCTACAACCTCTCCAGCAAAGGCTATCATTGGTGTTTTTGATTTTAGCCATTCTGACAGGTGTAAGATGATATCTCAAAGTTGTTTTGATTTGCATTTCCCTGATCGCTAAGGAGGTTGAACATGACCTTAAGTATCTTTTGGCCATTTGAACTTCTTCTGTTGAGAATTCTCTGTTCAGTTCAGTGCCCCATTTTTTAATTGGGTTAATTAGGATTTTAAATTCTAGTTTCTTGAGTTCTTTATATATTTTGGAGATCAGACCTTTGTCTGTTGCGGGGTTGGTGAAGATCTTCTCCCAGTCAGTAAGTTGCCTTTTTGTCTTAGTGACAGTGTCCTTTGCTTTACAGAAGCTTCTCAGTTTCAGTAGGTCCCATTTATTCAATGTTGCCCTTAATGTCTGTGCTGCTGGGGTTATACATAGGAAGCGATCTCCTGTGCCCATGTGTTGTAGGGTACTTCCCACTTTCTCTTCTATCAGGTTCAGTGTGTTCAGATTGATATTGAGGTCTTTGATCCATTTGGACTTGAGTTTTGTGCATGGTGATAGATATGGGTCTATTTTCATTCTTCTACAGGTTCGATGCTCTTAACATACAACCTAGGTGATATGCAGCACCCACATAGTAACTTCCAGCTATGCTCAACTTCAGTTTGCAATGCTACCACCCTCTTCTGGCCTTGGCAGGAACTCCACACATAAACTCCTCAGACAAACACGTAGGCAAAATATCCAACAAGTAGAATAAAAATAAATAAATCTTTAAAAAATAATAGAAAGGGTTTTAGTCAGCCCCAATTAAATGTTTTCCTTTATAAGAATTGCCATGGTCAAGGTATCTCTTCACAGCAATAGAAATTCTGACTAAGATAGGCATCAAAAACATATACACTGATCAGGGGAATAGAAGTAAGACCTCAGGTTCAAGTCCACATACATTGACAAAGATATCAAAAGCATACACTGAAGAAAAGACAGCACTTCCAACAAATGGTGCTGGGAAAACTATATTTCTCTAGGAAGAGCAAAACTAGATGCCCTTTCTCTCTGCACAAAAATCAACTAAATAGATCCGAGATCTCAACATTACCTGAAACTCACAGAAGAAAGAATAGGAAGTGCACTTCAAGATGCAGGCTCAGGTAAGGTCCTGCTGTCAAAAAATAGGATCAACAGTCAACAAGTGGGACCTCATGAAATTAAAAAAAATTGTATCACAAAGGGAATGATTAATTGGACTGAAGATACAGCCTCTTCAGAATGTGAAAAAAATATTTGCCAGTTATATGTGTGATAGAGAATTAGTGTTTAGAATATACAAAAATTCAGAAACTGAAGAGAGAGAAAGAAAAAGAGAGAGCACCCCAAAACTTCAACACCAAAAAAAAAAAACAAATTAAAACACAATTTAAAATGTAGGCTATGAGCCAGGCAGTGGTGACACACTCCTTTGAGACAGGGAGAGCTTTGTGAGTTTGAAATCAGCCTGGTCTACAGAGTGAGTTCCAGGACAGCCATAGTTACACAGAGAAACCATGTCTTGAACCACCACCACCCTCCACATTCAAAAAAGTGGATATTACAACTAGAACACAGAGTTCTCAGAAGAAGAAATACAAACGACTAAGACAATATTTTTAAAAGTGTTCACCATCCTTAGTCATCAGGGAGCTGCATGCAGGAGGCTCCAAGTTTGACCCCCAGCATCACATAAATCAGGCATATTGGCACACTCATGCAATCCCAGTAGAAGAAGTAGGCTTAAGGTCACTCTTAGCTGTTTGACAAGTTTGAAGCTAGTCTAGGATATTTAGGACTCTGTCTAAATACATATTTGTTGTAATAGGAGCGGCGGGCTATGTTCCTGGCACCCGCCCGCACGGCTAGCTTTACCTGAAATAATTACACGGAAACTGTATTTTTCTAATCACTGCCTGGTCCATTAGTTTTAGTCTCTTATTGGCTAGCTCTTACATATTGATCTAACCCATTTTTAATAATCTGTGTAGCCCACGAGGTGGCTTACCAGGGAAGATCTTAACCTGCGTCTGTGTCCGGCGGGACAATCATGGCGACTGCCTGACTCAGCTTCTTTCTCCCAGCATTCTGTTCTGTTTACTCCACCCACCTAAGGGTTGGCCTATCAAATGGGCCCAGACAGTTTCTTTATTAATTAACCAATAAAAGCAACAGATTAAAAAAATCACTCCCACATCACATATTTTTAAAATAAAGATTTAGATACAGAATCAAGGATGTGGACAAAAGGGAACCCTTACAAAAATGTAAATTATTCCAGTTTCTATGTTTATCAGTGTAGAAAGTCCTCAGAAAACTAGAATTAGATCTAGGATATGACCCAGCTATACCACTCCTGAGTGTTTGCCCGAAGGATTCCAAATCGAGGCACCACAGAAGGGCCAGCACCTGAGTGTTGGTTGCAGCACTACTGAGAAATGGCTCGCCTAGGTGCCCATCAGCACAGGACTGATACTCAAAATGCCAATGTTCTAGGTACAGACAATGGAGACTTTCTCATTAACAAAAAAGAACAAAGTCTTGTCATTTTCCAGGAAAACAGGCACAGATGGAAATGATCATTGTAAGAGAATTAAGTCAGTTTCCAAAAGACAAATGTGCTTTTCCCTCATTTGTGGTTACTATACTTTATATATGTAAAAGAAAATGATGTGTGTATATATGACATGAAAGAAATGAAGTTGTTCAGCAATAAGTGAGGAAGGGGGATTAGAGTATGGAGGGTACATGCTCAGCATACGACATTATATATGTGCATAAAAATGTCCTTATGTAACACAGTACCAAGTACAATGAGTATACACAATGAAAAACTTCCCATTTCTTTTATTTTTGGTAAGAAGGGTTTTAAAATATAAAAATCACTTTACTGTAATGACTCACGCATAAAATCACCACATGACCACATGAACACAGCCATCCAAGCAAACACTTGTCCAGTGCCAATCTCTATACATCTCGGCGAACACCTGTATAGTTGGAATGGCCATTCTGAAGCCATGGTGCCTTAATTACCATTTTACACTTTGACTGTCAATTACATTGTATGCATTTATCCACCACAAATAAGAAAAAGAATCGTGACAGAGTTCAAGCTGGAAAAGCGATTAGCTTTATATCCTCTTTCATGACTCTATTTTCTTTTAACCTGAATTCATTCATTCCTCACCAGCTAATATTTATCCTTTTTGCTCTCCTTTCTATATGTTATACCATGCCTACACGTACATTCGTATACATGCATACAACACACATACTATAGGCTAGGATCTACAAATGAGGGGGATCATGTGGTTTATTTTTTTTCTGAGACTATGTGACCTCAATATTCATATATAATCATATAGGCGTGGAAGCGGGTAGCCAACGGCCTGCAGAGCAACATGCCTAAGTTTTATTGTGACTACTATGATACGTATCTTACCCATGATTCTCGATCTGTGAGAAAGACGCACGGCAGCGGTCGGAAGCACAAGGAGAACGTGAAAGACTACTACCAGAAATGGATGGAAGAGCAGGCCCAGAGCCTGATTGACAAAACAACGGCTGCATTTCAACAAGGAAAGATACCTTCAGCTCCATTCTCTGCTCCTCCTCCTGCAGGGGCCATGATCCCACCTCCTCCCAGTCTCCCGGGTCCTCCTCGCCCTGGCATGATGCCTGCACCCTACATGGGAGGCCCTCCCATGATGCCGATGATGGGTCCACCTCCTCCTGGGATGATGCCCGTGGGACCTGCTCCTGGAATGAGGCCTCCCATGGGTGGCCACATGCCCATGATGCCCGGGGCTCCAATGATGAGACCCCCTGCTCGCCCTATGATGGTGCCCACCCGGCCTGGCATGACTCAGCCAGACAGAGAAGAGCGGAAAGGCTCTTTTTCGGTTTTGTATTTCTTGTTCTGTTTCAGCAGTTGATCACGGTGCTGAGCCTGGGTGTTTTCTAGCTGCATGACAAACAAGGCTTCCCCTTTCCTGACAGAAGAGTTTTGAGGGGAGAAGTGGGGTTAGAAAAAGTGCAGCGCTCACTTACATTGTGAAATGTGAAAATAAATCTGTCAGCTGTTTGAGTTAAAAAAAAATAAATCATATAGGTGTGTGTGTCTGTGTGTGTGTTTTGCTTCTGTGTGCTGGGATGGACAGAGTGGCCACATAGCTCGTGATTTGGCATCATAGAAACAAAAAAGAACAAAACTTAGTTGTTGTTTTTTGTTTATTTTTTTTCTGTTTTCTTTCTTTCTTTTTTTTTTTGTCTCTGGCCAACACGAGTGTAACAAAATTGGGGTATTTGGAAACCCACAACTCCCTTGAGGGAGTTAGTTTCCTGAAGGTCAAAAGTCATATTGAGATTGCAAGAAAGAAAATGATTGCAGGTGGCTTGATGGTCAGATTACAGTGTGAGAAGGGATGGGGTGGAGAGTCAAAGGGAAAAGGAAAATGACAGATTCTGACTTTATAGTGAGAGGGGCCCCCTTTCTGCAGCATCATGGTCCCTTCTGCCTTAGGAGCAGACTACACTCTGTGCAAGTGTGTGGCTTCTTATCATTTAAGGAAAAAAGGATGCATTGCCATTTGCTCTCACTAATTCTTTTACCTGGGTAAATGATTATTACTAGGTGAAAAATCCACCCACAACTGAGCTGGGAGAGCAGGTAGAGCAGAATACTTGTGAGAAGCGGGAGGTGGCTCTCCCGCCAGAGTGAGGTGAAAACTCAGGGGACCATGAAGACTGGCTCCTGCTTCCTTGGGGGCAAGGGAAACAAAGAGAAGCTAGATTAATAAGAAAATGAAAAATTCCAACAGGAAATCCAGAAGATGCAGATTGTGGCTACTGTACCTCTGGGCAATTTTCTTTCATTTCTTGAACTCAAGGAGCTGGGGCTGGGGAATTCATCTTTGATTGACTTGAGAATGGAAGGAAGATCATTTAAGATCTAATATTTTTCTTTGCTTGATAATGAAACTTCTCACAGTTGCAGGAAATCATAGTTATTGAAGAGATAAAAGTGTAGAAAAGTTACAGAAAAGTAGTATTTCATTTAAATTTTTTTTTCTCTCTGCTGTGTTTTGTTTTGGGATAGAACTTCACTTTGGAGGCATCCTGGTCTCAAACTTGAAACCCTTTCTTCTTCTGCCTCTGAGGTACAGGTGTAGGCATGTGCCGTACTCAGCTCTGAGATAGTTCCTTAATGGAAAGATAATAACAAAGACAATCTTGGAAGCCCAGAAAAATACAAAAAACGAAAACAAAAAGTCATGATTTAAAAAAAGCAAACTCTGCCATATAAAATTATGTAATTCCTTCCCAGAACTTAACTCAATAACTAATGTTCTAAAATATTGCAATTATTAAAAATTTCATTTTCTTTTATCATTGAAAAGTGTATAATGGCTTCATTCCATAGTGACAAAGGAAATTATAGCTCAGAAAAGGAAACTATAAATATATCCGTTGACCAAAATTCTCTTATAATAGAGCCATGTTCATCTTCATAACTGATTAAAATAAAGTTAAAGTTGTTGTTGCAAACAAGAAAATCATCAAAATCTTACCCAAAGATAAACATTCTTAATATTTAGATGCATGTTTCTATCATATTTTCATGCATATGTTTGCTTTCCTTTCTTTTTAAAAATAAATTTAGCTGGGCAGCGGTGGCACATACCTTTAATCCCAGCACTCAGGAGGCAGAGACAGGTGGATCTCTGTGAGTTTGAGGCCAGCCTGGTCTACAGAGTGAGTTCCAACACAGCCAGGGGTACGCAGAGAAACCCTGTCTTTAAAACAAACAAACTAATAAATAAATAACTAGAATTTAAATGTTTATGTATTCATTTTATATGTATTGGTGTTTTGCCTGCATGTATGTCTGTGTACCACCTGTGTGCTCAGTTCCTGAGGTGGTCAGAAGAGGGTATTGGGTCCCCTGGTACTGGCTGTTTCAGCAGGATCTGAAAGTGGGTGCTGGAATCGACCCCAGTGGTTTGTCACAACAGCAAGTGCTCACCTCTCCAGTTTTTATGTAGTTGTCGTGATAAGAATTATATATCCCCTTGGGGCAGGGAGTGGCTCTCTTGGTAAATCTCTTACCTTGCAGGCATGAAATCCCAGATTAGAGCCCTGGAACCCAGAGAATAATGCCCTGGTGTGCTGGTACTAGATTGTAATCTCCCCACCGGAGAGTGAGATAGAGACAGGAAGATCCTCAGGGCTCATTGGCCAGCCAGTCTTGCCTAACTGGTGAAGTTTGTAGCCCAATGAGAAGATCTCTCTCAAAGAAAGGTGGGCAGCATTGTTGAAGACAACCCTGGAGGTTGTCTCCTGGCCTACACACACACACACACACACACACACACACACACATGCATGCTTGCACGCACACTCATAATCCTTTATCCTAAACCTTTAGCCTGTAAATATTCTTGTAGAGAAAGCAGTCTATAAGCCACACAATTTGTCACATGCCAATCCATTTCAGCAGTCAGTTCTGGCCATACTTGTAATGCATTCGATTATTTTTTACATTTATTTATTTATTGGGGGTGGGCGGGACACTGCGCTTGCGTGGAGTCCAGAGAACAACCTGTAAGTCAGTTTTCGCCTTCCACACGCCACAGGGTTCTGGGGATCAAACTCAGATCATCAGGCTCGAGGACAGACACCTTGACCCTCTGAGCTACCTCCGGGAGATGCTGACTGTCAAAATCCCCAAACCTGGGCTGGGAGATGGCTCAGCAGGTAACGTGCTGGCCCTCTAAGCCTGACAGACAACCCAACTTTCCTTCCTGAATTCTGTGGTAGGATGAGAGAACGTGCTCCCCAAAGTTGTCCTCTCACATCTTCTACACTTGCATATTGATGCTTGCATGCACAGACATGCACACAAACAGAAAATAAAAATACATTAAAAATAGAGCTTCTGAGTGTGTTCTTTACTTGGCCTACTGAAAACTTGGTCACCTGGCATTTGGACCTTGCACACCTCACTCCGTCTCACTTGACTTTGAACTGTTCTGTCCTGTCTATCACTATTACTTTAAACCATCTGTCGTGTTAGCTGCTAGGCTACAGTACTTGAAGCTGCAGGAGACCAGCAGGCAGTGTGGGCATAAAGATCTACATGCAGTCACCCACCTGCTCGGGCTACAAGGGAGCTGAATTCTTTCTCTTTTCACAGACTAGCGTAATCATGCTGTTTTAGTGACCACTGGAACTCATGTGTAATGAAGGATGAGCCCAAGACCCTATGCTGCAAAAGTTGTAGACTGGCCACTGAGTGCCCACACTGGTGCCGTTGTGACTAACACAATGGTTTAGCATCTTGGCAAGTGCAGAGCCAAACAAATGCAACTGAAAAATATGTGTTGCTTTCATTGGTTAATGAAGAAATTGCTTTGAGCCTGTTGATAGGGAAGAACTTAGGTAGGCAGGGAAAACTAAATGGCATGCTGGGAGAGAGGAGACAGAGTCGAAGAGAGGAACGTCATGGAGCCACCAGAGAGAGACATGCCAAATCTTTCCCAGTAAGCCACTGCCATGTGGCAATAAACAGATTAATAGATGGGTTAAATCAAGATGTGAGAGTTAGCCAATAAGAGGCTAGAGCTAATGGGCCAAGCAGTGTTTTAATTAATACAATTCCTGTGTGGTTATTTCAGGGCTAAGCCAGCCAGGCTTCTGGGATGAACAAGCAGGCCCCCTCCTCCTGCAATGATATTCATATAGGAAAGTGCTTTAGGAATGTGCCAATTCCTTAGTATGCTCAGTTTAAAATAATATTTTAAGAAGAAAAAATGCAGACACGTATTTGGACATACTTAGCTCAAAATCATTTACAAGGTTAAAAAGGCAGCCAGGAATGCTCTGAGCCTGATTGGATAATATCATAAAGTTCTACTTTAAAAGGTTAGGGTGCAGGCATGACAGTTATTTAGATAAAGGCTCTTAGCATCAAGGCAGGTGATCCACCTGAGTCAGATCCACATGGTGAAAGGAGAGAGCTGACTTTCAGAGGTTTGTGCTGCAAAGCTCAGTGGCATGCATGCTTACACCTGCCACCCCTATACACAATAAATAAATAAACAAATGTGATGGAGGAAGTTCATTGGCTAATAAAGGAACTGCCTTGGCCCATTTTATTGGTTAGAAGATAGGTGGGAGGAGAAAACAGAACAGAACGCTGGGAGGAAGAGGAAGTGAGCTCAGAGACGCCACAGCTCTCCTCTCCAGAGCAGACGCCTGAGAGAGACGCCATGCCCCGCTCCCAGCATGAAGCTCCGACCCAGGATGGACATAGGCTAGAATCTCCCCGGTAAGCGCACCTTGGGGTGCTACACACAAATGATTAGAAATGGGCTAAATTAATATGTGAGAATTAGCCTAGAACAGAATGGGCCAAGCAGTGTTTAAAAGAATACAGAAACGCTGGGAGGAAGAGGAAGTGAGCTCAGACTCCACAGCTCTCCTCTCGGGAGCAGACGCCTAGAGAGATGCCATGCCCCGCTCCCGGGCAGACGCATGCTATGAAGCTCCGACCCAGGATGGACTAGGCTAGAATCTTCCTGGTAAGACCGGTTCTCACAGATTATTAGAGATGGGTTGATCGGGATATCAGAATTAGCCAGTAAGGGCTAGAGCTAAAGGGCCAATCAGTGTTTAAATGAATACAGTTTGTGTATTGTTATTTTGGGGCATAAGCTAGCCAGGCTGCCGGGGTGCTGGGGATGCAGCCCCGCAGCTCTTATTACTACACAAATGCAAATTTTTTAAAGGGAGAAAATAAAGAAAGGCTCTTTGAAGGCACGTTAATATTATTCTCAAAGGGCTCACACAACACACCCTGTGGAAGGGAAGTCTAGTAAAAAAATCCTTGAGTCAAGTAAAGGAGAGAGTAATGAGAAACTGGGGACTAGATAAT